GCTGCAGATGCTCTACCACTCTATGGTCTCTGCAGGACCATGCTGCACATGTTTTACCACTCGGTGGTCTCCAGCATCTTCTTCTACGCTGTGGTGTGCTGGAGCAGCAGGGTGAAGAAAGCTGATTTCATATTCTCTGTTATTTTTTATATCTAGTGTGATTCTGCGTGTATGTTTCTTTGTACTGAAATTCTGGCACAATAATTTCCTTCGGGATGAATAAAGTTCTATCTTATCTTATCTTAAAACTTCACTCAACACTTTTTTTTTTACAGTTAACTCTTTACACAGGTTGTCAAAGAGGAGGAGCTGTTTTCACCCAAAAGAGGCGGAGCTTTATTTTCACCCAAAAAGAGGTGAAGCTTTATCATCAAAAAAGAGGAGCATTATTTCACGCAAACTGAAGTGGAGTTTTGTTTTTTCTCAAAAAGAGGCAGAGCTTTGTTTTCACCAGAAAAAGAGGTGGAGCTTTGTTTTCACACAAAAAGAGGTGAAGCTTTTTTATCATTAAAAAAGAGGAGGAGCTTTATTTCACGCAAACTGAAGCGGAGTTTTGTTTTTTCTCAAAAAGAGACAGAGCTTTGTTTTCATCAAAGAAGAGGCGGAGCTTTGTTTTCACACAAAATGAATCAGAGCTTTTTTTCCTCAAAAAGCAGAGGAGCTTTGTTTTCTTTAAAACAAAGACCTCTGAGCTTTGCTCTGGCTAAGAATCTGTCTCCACTCCATTTACATCATTTTTAAAAACAATTATTTAAATTAAAAGGTGTCACAAGACATCAGTCAGGCGTTTAAGGTGATGAGTTTGCTTGATACAGAAACTTTACATTTAAAGGCAGGCGGTTGAAGAACCCATCTGATTCCTCAGCAGAGCAGCTCAAAGGTCAGCGTCTGTGTTGCTTCTTCTTCTTTCGGCTTTTCCATCTTCAGGGGTCTCCACAGTGAGTCATCCTCCTCCATCTCTCTCTGTCCTCTGCATCCTCTGTCCTCACTCCAACTACCTCCATGTCCTCTCTAACTGTATCCATTTATCTCCTCTTTGTCTTTTTCCTGGCAGCTGCATTTCTAATATCCTTCTGCCAATATACCCACTGTCCGTCCTCTTGATATGTCCAAACCACTGTCCCTCCTCTGGACATGTCCACACCACTGTCCCTCCTCTGGACATGTCCAAACCATCTCAGTGTGTCCTTTCTAACTTTATCTCCCTGTTGTTCAACCTGTGCTGTACCTCTGATTATCTCATTCCTGATCTTATCCATCCTTGTCACTCCTAAGGAGAACCTCAACATCTTCATTTTGACACTTACAGTTATGTCTCCTGTCTGGTTGTCCATGTCTCCGTCTCCTATCTTTTTGTCCATGTCTCTGTCTCCAGACCATACAACATAGCTGGTCTCACCACTGTCTTGTAAACTTTTCCTTTGACTTTTGCTGACACCCTTTTGTCACAAATCACTCCTGAAACTTTTCTCCATCCACTCCATCCTGCCTGAACTCTCTTCTTTACATCTTTACCACATTCCCCATTTTCCTGGACAGTGGACCCCAAGTCCTTGAAGTCCTGCACCTTTGTGACCTCTGCTCCTTGTAGCCTCACTGTTCCACCTCCTCCCTCTCATTCACACACATGTACTCTGTCTTACTACGACTGACTTTCATTCCTCTTCTTTCAAGTGCATGCTTCCACCTCTCCAAGTTCTCTTCCACCTGTTCCCTGTTCTCACCACAGATCACAATGTCATCTGCAAACATCATAGTCCACGGGGATTCCTGTCTGACCTCATCTCTTAGTCTGTTCATCACCAGAATAAACAAGAAGGGGATCAGAGCTGATCCTTGATGCACTCCCACCTCCACCTTGAAGCTAAATCTGTCACTCCTACAGCACATCTCACCACTGTCCTGCTGTCCTCATACATGTCCTGTACCAGTCTAACATGTTCTGCTGTCCTCATACATGTTCTGTACCAGTCTAACATGTCCTGCTGTCCTCATACATGCCCTGTACCAGTCTAACATACTTTTCTGCCACTCCAGATTTCCTCATGCAATACCACACCTCCTCCCTTTGCACCCTGTCAGATGCTTTTTCTAAATCCACAAAGACACAATGGTGTTTTTTCTGACCCTTTCTGTACTTCTCCATCAGCATCCTCAAAGCAAAGATGACGTCTGTGGTGCTCTTTCTTGGCATGAAACCATACTGCTGCTCACAGATATTCACCTCTTGTCTAAGTTTAGCTTCCACAACTCTCTCCCAGATTTTCATCTTGTGGCTCATCAAGTTAATTCCCATTGCTACAACTCTGTACATCACCCTTGTTCTTTAAAATGGCCACCAGCACATTTCTTCTCCATCCCTCGTTCATTTTCTCACCCTCAAATATGACATTGAATATCTGAGTCAATAACCACCTCACTGCCATCTCTCCAAGACATTTCCAAACCTCCACTGGTATGTCATCAGATCCTACTGCCTTTCCCTTCTTTATTATTTTCAGAGCTTTCTGGACTTCACCCTCACTAATCTTTCCCACTTCCTGGTCCACAGTTTCTATGACCTCTACTCTTCTTTCTTTTTCATTCTCTTCATTCATTAGCTCTTTAAAGTACTCCTTCCATCTTCCCATCACACTCTCCTCACTTGTTAGAACATTACCATTCCTATCTTTAATAAATTTAACCTGCTGTACATCCTTTCCAGCCTGATCCCTCTGTCTTGCTAATCGGTACAAGTCCTTCTCACCCTCTTTAGTGTCCAGTTTCCCATACAACTCATCATACGCCTTCTGCTTTGTCTTAGCTACTTCCCTCTTTGCTCTATGTCCCATCTCCTTATATTCCTGTCTCCTCTCTTCAGTCCTCTCACTGTCATATTTCTTCTTGGCTAACCTCTTTTTTTGAATAGCTTCCTGCACTTCACTATTCCACCACCAGGTTTCCTTATCATCCATTCTCTGTCCAGATGACACATCAAGTACCTTCCTACTTGTCTCTCTAATTACTGTTGCTGTAGTAGTCCAGTCATCTGGAAGCTCTTTCTTACCACCCAGAGCCTTTAACAGCTCCTCTCTGAATTTCTCAAAACATTCTTCCTTCTTCATCTTCCACCATTTGATCTTCTTCTCTGATTTTACTCTTTTTCTCTTCTTCACAACAACAGTCATTCTACACACAACCATCAGATGCTGTCTGACCACGCTCTCCCCTGCCACAACCTTACAGTCTCCAATCTCCCTCTGGTTTCTTCTTCTACACTGAATGTAGTTGACCTGCGTACTCCTTCCTCCACTCTTATATGTCACTCTCTATTCCTCCCTCTTTTGGAAATGGGTGTTGACTACAGCCATTTCCATTCTCTTGGCAAAATCCACCACCATCTGTCCTTCCTGGTTTCTTTCCTTGACACCAAACCTACCCATCACTTCCTCATCCCCTCTGTTTCCTTCACCAACCTGTCCATTCAGGTCTGCTCCAATCACCACTCTCTCCCTGTGAATACTCTCTATCACTTCTTCCAGATCCCTCCAAAATGTATCTTTCTCCTCCACATCACATCCAACTTGTGGAGCATAACCACTGACAATGTTTAGCATCAGACCTTCTACATTTCTCTTTCTGTCCACACCATGGTAAAACAGAGGTCAGCGTCTGTGTTGCTGTTGGTCACATATTTTAAGGCCGCTGAGTTTGGCTCCATTAAAGGTTGACCAGACTATTGTCACAGGGTTTAGATGCCTTGAGCTCCATCTCTCTTAGTAAACAGTTTGTCATTTGAATCATCTATTTATCAGCAGCACAGCGTTGGAGTTAGAACTAGGATCCTGAACTGACCTGTTATCATGTTGTGACGTCGTATTTGACCTTCTCTAGTTTCGGTCGGTGGACGAGACGACGCAGGCTATGGCCTTCGATGGGATCATCTTCCAGGGTCAGTCGCTGAAGATCAGACGACCTCACGACTACCGGCCTTTACCGGGTATCTCAGAGCAGCCGGCTTTCCACGTCCCAGGTTGGGTCCTGACGCTCTTCAGGACAAAAAGATAAACAAATAATATTGTTGTATATTTTTACAGTTCTTTCTGATCCTTGTTGTTAGGGGTTGTCTCCACCGTTGTTCCTGATTCCCCTCATAAACTGTTCATCGGAGGCCTGCCTAATTACCTGAATGACGACCAGGTATGTCACTGACAGCAGATTGCACAGGTGCTCTCAGGTTCCCTCACCTGAGCGTTTTATCTCAGGAATAGGACAGGGTGTGCTTCACGACACAAAGAATCAAAGTTTGATTTCTTACTGCTATAAAAACAGGCTGTGTCATTTCATCCAACAGGTAGGATTTATTGTTTGTTTTTTTATTATTTATTATTATTTCTTCAGCATTTCTTCATTTATTGCTGGTTCATTCACCAGCAGCCAATCAGGTCCCTCAGGTTTAATCTCTGCACTCGGCTGGTATTCAGTCGAGTACTCGTCGAAGTATGTGAGCGGTCTCTAGCAGCACAGTCCTTTGCATTTCTTTGGCATTGACTCCACATGGGAGTTTGTGTAGTTGCTCTTGAAATCCTTTCTTCTTTGCTCCTAAAGCTCCAATTACAATTGGTATAACTTTGAGTTTTTGTGTTCCGCATGCATTGGACTTCTATCTCCAGATCCTTGTAATTTATTTTCTCTGCTTCTTTCTTTAGGATGTTATTGTCATTCGGGATAGTCACATCATGCAAGTAACACATTTTGTTGTTCTTGTCATGGAGCACAGTGTCTGGCCCGTTTGCAGAGATGGTACAATTAGTAGGGATGGTCATGTCCCATGTGATGACATAAACCCCATTGTCAACCACTTTCTCAGTCCTGTGCTCATACCACTTGTCAGTTGTACCTACACCCATTCTCTGGCACAATGTCCAGTGCAGGTCAGTCCCAACCTTGTTGTGTCTTTCCAGGTACTCTTTTGGGACCAATATATTGCAGCCAGAAACTATATGACTAATGGACTCCTCTGCTTCCACACACACACGGCATGTGCTGCTGACCTGCATGCCCATCACATTATTTTGGTGATAGTGAGTGTTTAAGGCTTGATACTGTGCTGCAGTAATTAAACTTTCTGTTTCTCCTTTGAGTCCTGCGCTCGACAGCCATGAGTGAGTACGTTCTTTGTCTACATAATGCTTGTCAACATTATTAGCAAACTGACCATGCAGTGGCTTTTCCTTGTAACATTCTATTCGGGCTTCCATGATCTGGTCTTAAGCATCAGCTTGGTTTTTGTAGGATCTATGTTTGATCCTACTGGCACATTATACTTGTTTTTTTATCTCATTACCTCTAAATGATGGACTTGCATTGTGCTAGTGTCTTCTCGAAGTCTCAAAGAAGTTGGATAAGCTGACCATCAGACTGCTTCAGGTAATCACACAACTCTACTATCGCTGCCTCTTCAACAGTTTCAAGTTGTAGCAGCCCATGTCCTCCCTGGCATCATGAGATGTACAGGCGCTCAACATCAGCTCTCAGGTGTAACTGGCCATGTAACGTCAGCAATTTCCTGGTCTTGTAGTCCATATTCTTGATGTCCTTCTTGGTCCATGAGAGAATGCCAAAGCTGTAGGCAACCACTGACACTGCTAAACTGTTGATTGCAACAATCTTGTTCTTTGAGTTCAGCTCTGATTTGAGAACCATTCTGATGTGCCGATAGTATTCCGTCCTTGTTTTGACTTTCATGGACTCATCCTGGATGCCATCACCGTCATCCACGCCCAAGTACATGTAGATACCTCCAAGTTCCAGGCTTTTGATAGTTTCTTTGTCACTGAAAGTGATATCTAGGCCTGGGGCCTAATTATTATTATTATTATTATTATTATTATTATTATTATTATTATTATTATTATTATTATTATTATTATTATTAATAATAATGCTATTTATGCTGCTTATAAGACTGAGTTTTTTGCAGTTCCTCAGACTGAAGAAGTCTTCTGGATAAAAGACAAAACATTTCAACAAGTTTTTTTTTCAATCCATCCAGATGACCTGCTAGAATTTTCTACCTGGGTTATTGAACATGCGTCAGGATGAACAGTACAAAGTTTCTTCACCATAACTCTTCAGAAGTGCTTCAGCTCTCTGATTGATTGGGATGTTCATTGAAAACAAATCAGGTATAATTTATTGTGATCATGAAGAAATGAACCTTCAGCCACAAAAGGCTGCAGAGCGAAGACCAAACTTTAATCAACATAAATCCTGACAGTGAGACGATAGACCTGACAGGAACAGATGAAACCAGAGAATGGAGCGTCTGAAGACACAGACTGATATTTTAACCTCAAACAACGATCAGGAAGTTCAGCTAACAGAATCAAATAAATATGAAGTTCAATCAAACCTCCATTAGTTCCTTCGATCTGCGGGATGTGGAGGCTCACCTGAACGCTTTCAGGCTGGACCTCAGGACTCTTGTGTGCAGGTTAAAGAACTGTTGATGTCATTCGGATCACTCAAAGCCTTCAACCTGGTGAAGGACAGTGCCACGTCTCTGTCCAAAGGCTACGCCTTCTGTGAATATGTGGACATCAGCGCCACTGACCAGGTAACCGCTGCTGCGCTCCCCGTGGCCTGGGTGTTCTTGTTTACAGCTCTGTTGTTGTTGTTTAGAGGTGTTTTCTGTTGGGCAGGCGGTCGTCGGGCTCAACGGGATGCAGCTGGGTGATAAGAAGCTCATCGTTCAGAGGGCGAGTGTTGGAGCTAAAGGTGCCAACTTGGTGAGTTTCCTCCTGCTCCGTCCTGCTGGAATAAAGAAATGTTTCTTCTTAAAGCTGCTTCTTTGATGAGACCAGAGGAGGAACAGAGGAGCTCTTTAAAGTCTTTGGACTGAACCTGCTCACATTAGTAATAATAAAGACAGTCGGAGTTCTTTTGTATCTGAGTAGAACAACACAAGGTCTTTGGTTGTCAAAATAAAAGCTTGTGAAATGAGCAGAAGCTTCAGTTAGTGAAACTCCTGTGGTGAAGACTGAAACCTTCAGAGCTTCTTGTTTTTGTATGTGACATTCTTCTGGCTCAGAACAATGAAAAGATGACCCATATGATTGTTTTCTTGGAGAAGCTGGATGTTGTGTCTCTGTCCCCCTGTAGACCTCCATCATAGAGACCCCGGTCACTCTGCAGATTCCTGGCTTGCAGAGGCTGCAGAACTCCGGCATGCCCACCGAGGTGTTGTGTCTCCTCAACATGGTGATGCCCGACGAGCTGGTGGACGATGAGGACTATGAGGAGATCTTGGAGGACATCCGCGATGAATGCTGCAAGTACGGCAACGTCCTCTCCATCGAGATCCCCCGACCGTTGGAAGGAGTGGAAGTCCCCGGCTGTGGAAAGGTGCGTCCGCTCATTGAATGATTGTTTTATTTCTTGTTGTTCCAGTGGAATGACCTGAAGGCTGGGCACTTCTTAGGGGCATTTCTTAATCTGTTCAGAGCACCGAGGAGTGCACAGAACCATGACTCGGGCCTGCAGGCATGCCGTTTAAATCATTTTCAATCTTGGCTTGTGTAGCTCCATCAGGATGTTGTTAGGCAGAGCAGATCTCAGCTCCTGCAAGAACCTTTGAGGAACCTTGGAGAAACCTAGGCTTTTTCCCTGCAGGGTTCTGATTTCCTTCTGGACCCGGCTCTACTGTTCCTTGTGTGTTCCAGATCTTTGTGGAGTACGTTTCTGCTGCAGACTGTCAAAAAGCCATGCAGGCTCTCACCGGCCGCAAGTTCGCCAACCGAGTGGTGGTGACCAAATACTACGACCCTGACATGTACCATCGACACGCGTTCTGATCCGTTTCTGTTGTTTAGAGACTGGACCTGAAAAAGATCACGAACATTGACCTCAAACCAGCTGGACCACCGTGAGTGTTTGAAGACCGCCTCAAACCCCAAAACACTGAACACAGTTTTACCTGAACAACAAATACTAAAATCTGCTACATACTACTGATACACTGTACTATTACACTGTACTACTGAACTGTACTACTGCAGTGTACCAAACTACACTGTACTACTGCATTGTACTACATTTATTCACCTCCTTCTCCTCCTCCTCCTCCTCCTCCTGAGCTGAAACTGATGAAGAATGTCTCTCTGGACAGATGTCAGGTGGATCCAATGAGTTTTGTGTAAATAATCCAAAAGAAGCATCATACCTCCTGCTGTAAAAAGATGCTTTCTTTGTCCCATAATCCTTTGCAGCGGTATCTTTCAAAGCTAAGCAACGTTAGGCACCACAGTGGTGCGGTAGTAGCTGTGAGTCATCCCTGAACACAGTCTGAGAGCGACCTGATCGCACGAGATCTGGGTTTAAGTCATTCCTTCAAAGAATGGCTGTTTTCAATTGATTTGACGATGGAAGAGAAACGCCGTCTGAGCAGACATCAGAACTTTTCCAAACCATTTCCTGCCAACATCAGAGACACTTCAGGTCGTTTCAGGATGAAGGAACAGGAAAACAAACATTCAGAAAATCCAAAGATAAACTTCATGTCTTCAACAAGCAGAAACACACCTTTAAGTTTTTATGATTTACTGAAGAGTTGTTTTCATTTTGTTGAAGTTTTTAATTTATCTTAGGATCTGTTTTGTTGATTTTGTAAGTGTAGACACGACCTCAGAGCAAATAAAGCTTTCAAGTGTTGAACTGTTTTGTTTCTCTGTTGTATTAAAGATGTAAAGATGAAACATCATGAGAGGAGAAGAGACTTTATTTTATCAAGCAGTTCTGGACAGGCACAGATCAAAAAACTATAAAGTTTATATTAACATGGTTTGACTTAAGGTTAGCAGACTGAAGAGCCAGGTGGAACAAAGGTAAGTGTTTCATCTACAAAGCCAGGTGTGTTTTGTAGATGGAGCCAGAGAGGAGACGAGGCGAGAAGACGTCCTACGTTTCCACAGAAGTCGCTGAAGAGAATCACAAGGGTTAGTCAAAAACATTTAGAAACCGGTTTTATCGGCGGTCCATCGATTACCAAAAGGGAAGATGATGTCCCAGCATCAGAAGAACATCTGGCAGAGCTTTTATACTCAGCACAGCTGTCTTCCAGATCAGGAGCAGTTGTGGAGTGATGGCTAATTATGATGAGCAGCAGGTGTGGAGAGAGTGAGTGTGGCTGGAAACCTAGGAATCCTACATATGATCCCTGCCACGCTCTGAATAATCCCTGCCATGCTCTGAATAATCCCTGCCATGCTCTGAATAATCCCTGCCATGCGCTGAATAATCCCTGTCATGCTCTGAATAATCCCTGCCACGCTCTAAATAATCCCTGCCACACTGTATAATCCCTGCCGCACTCTAAATAATCCCTGCCACACTCTGAATAATCCCTGTCATGCTCTGAATAATCCCTGCCACGCTCTAAATAATCCCTGCCACACTGTATAATCCCTGCCACACTCTGAATAATCCCTGCCACACTCTGTATAATCCCTGCCATGCTCTAAATAATCCCTGCCACACTCTGTATAAACCCTGCCGTACTCTGAATAATCCCTGCCGCTCTCCGAATAATCCCTGCCATGCTCTGAATAAACACATTCCTGCAGTTCAATGTCCAACACAACATGACTCCTAATTTGTAATATTTCATTTTACATTCATTTTATAATATTTTAGTTTCATTGGAAAAGTTCAAAGTCAGTGTTTCTTTATTTGTCATACACACCACATGTGGTACATGTGGTGGAACAACATTGTGTACACAGGGTCCCAGTTACATCCAACAAAAGTATAAAATGTAAATGAAAAACAGTAATCAGATCTAAGATATGAACTAAGAGAAACACTACACTAAGCAGTAATAGTACAAAAACAATACGCTGAGAAACAGCAGCACGGACCTGAGTCTGTGTGAGCAGACTCTGCATGTTCTGTACTCCGTGCTGCGTGGGTTTTCAGTTCTATTCAGTTTCTTATATGTCCACGTCACAACAGAAGTTGTCTTAGGGCACTGAACAGAAACATTCATATAAGTTAACATTATTTATCTGATTATTATTATTATTATTATTATTATTATTGATTTACTTTTCTCTGGGTACTCTTGTTTCCTCCCACAATCCAAAAACATACATGTTAGGCTGATTGGTAACTCTAAATTGTCCCAAGGTGTCCCTGTGATGGACTGGAGACCTGTCCAGGTGTCACTGTGATGGACTGGAGACCTGTCCAGGTGTCACTGTGATGGACTGGAGACCTGTCCAGGTGTCTCTGCGATGAACTGGAGACCTGTTCAGATATCCCTGTGATGGACTGGAGATCTGTCCAGGTGTCCCTATGATGGATTGAGACCTGTCCAGGTGTCCCTATGATGGATTGAGACCTGTCCAGGTGTCCCTGTGATGGATTGAGACCTGTCCAGGTGTCCCTGTGATGGATTGAGATCTGTCCAGGTGTCCCTGTGATGGACTGGAGACCTGTCCAGGTGTCCTTGTGATGTACTAGAGACCTGTACAGGTGTCCCCTGCCCCTCACACATTGACTTCCGGACCTGGACTCCAGTGAGCCAGAAAGGAAGAAGCAGGTCAGATCATGGATGGAGTTCTGGAGCAGACTTCAGGTTCCACTTGGACCTTACAGAACCACAAACACAACTGGTTCTTATTTATGTTTTAATGAAAACGTTGGTTACGTACTGTAACCCCAGATTCTATGAATATGCTTGTTGGATTAGTTGGGCACATTTTGTTATTTTGATTGGTCTTTTGATACAGTCAGATCTGTTGGCTAATTATGATTGGCCGGAAGTACCTTTCATGAACGGACTGTGTGAATGAGAACGTATGACTGTTTGTCAAATTTAATTAAGACATTCTTATTATTGGTTTTTGGACTATTTCTCTCTTATTTTGAAAAGAAGCCTTAGTGAGTAACGCTAAAGGGAAACTTCATTTAGCTCTTTCGCTAAAAAGAAAAAAAGAAAGACTACTTGTTTTATTTTGGGAATATTTTTAATTAATTGCTTAAACGTTTTCCTTATTTGGATGTTCGTATTTTAGCTTTTGTTATAATTCCCCTTTCAGCTACACCTTCGTGGTATCTACCTTATCATTTGTCGAACCCAAGCACCCTTCCATTCTGTTTTTTAACTCCAATAGATTAGTTAAAAGGCGCTGCATTATTATTATTATTTAACTTGGAACAAGAAGATCCAGAAACGTTTAAGCCATTTCCGGCCTGTTGCTTCGTTGAGCTTTTATTTTGAAATGGCCCGTGTGGTTTCCGGTTGTGACTCGTCGGACGGAGTCCATGATGACGAACTGAAAACACCGAGCAGCGCTGACGTTCCCTGACGGATTATAATGTTTCTGGACCGGGTCTCGTCCCGGTTCTGGAGCGTGGGACCGTCCTCGGTGTACCGGGTCAACACGAAGCCAGGCGGCCGCTGCTTGAGACCCAGTCCGGACCGTGATGGGCCCGGAGAGGCGTGTTAGCTAACCCCGCTACCCGAGCTGCTTCCAGGGAAGGCGTCATCGGTCAGAACCGGGCAGGTCCAGCCGAACCACGGCCAGCTGAGGGTGAGCTCCCGGTACCGCCGGTACAAACCCTTCAGTCATGTTTATTAATTCTGGTTCTGTTTGTTTCTGAGCCCTTTGGGTCTGAGAGAAGTGTCAGAACCACCCGGGTCAACAGGTCCAACTGACCCCGTGTGTAAAACGGTCCAGTGGTTCTGGTCAGTGGGTACCGGGACATGGCCCACTTGGACAGTCTGCAGAACTTCCATCAGGCCCGGACTAAACCAGACAGGAACTGGTTCAAGACCCAAAACTCCTGGTCCTCCTGAGCAGGACTGGACGTGTGGAGGTTCTGACCCGGTCCAATCCGCTCAAAATGCTGATGGAACTCCATGACAACGTTTAGACCTGGGCCAAGCAACTGGTCCGCCGGTTGATGGTCCTGGTTTAGGCTTTGTCGTCTGAGCAGAACCCTTCTTGGACCCAGAGGAGCTCAGAACCCCGAGTGTTTTGGACCTTTGTCATCTTCATCTTTGACCTTTTGACCTTTCATCCTTCATCAGAGGGACATGGTCTGAATGAAGCTCAGGGTCCGTGTGGGGGGGCCGGACCCCTTTGGGTGGGTGGGGGGGTTCTACTGACACCAAGAACAGGAAAACGGATATTTAATACGTCATAAAAAACAAGTTTAATGTTTTCATCTTTAGAACAAAAATAATCAATTTAAAAAACCCCACTAAAGTTTAAATAATTAAACAAATATTAAAATATGAGCGAACACTACATGAATATCAAATTTAATATTTTGACATCAGATATCACATGGTCCACACAAATCATTCATTCAACCTTTATTTAGACAGATAAGTCACGTTGAGCCTAGAAGACTCGTTTACAAGTGAGACCTGTTTAGAATGAATGACGTGAATTACGTCATAAAATCTTCATTATGAATAACAACATTAATATAAATAAAAACATCAATATGAATAAAAACATTAATATAAATATATGTATGTTAATATAAATAAAAACATTATTATGAATAAAAACATTCATATAAATAAACGTTAGTATGAATTAAAAATGTTGATATAAAAATATATAAATAAAAACATGAACAAAAGCATTCATATAAATAAAAACATTAATATAAATAAAAATATTTGTATAAATAAAAATATTAATGTAAATAAAAGTTAATATAAAAACATTCATATCAATAAAACATTAATAAAAACATTAATATAAATAAAATATTAATATAAATAAAAAACATTGTAATATAAATAAAAAAACATTGTAATATAAATAAAAAAAACATTGTAATATAAATAAAAACATTGTAATGTAAATCAAAAACATTGTAATGTAAATAAAAACATTGTAAT